TTTATAAAGAAGTTTTAATATTAAAATAAAAGTATTTATTAATAAAATTAAAAACTTTTATATAAAATAAATATTTTAATTTTTATTATATATTAATAAATTTAAAAATTTTATTAATAAATTTAAAAATTTTTATATAAAATAAAAATAAAAATTTTATTATAGTTTATTAATAAAATTATATATATATATCTCTCAAACTTATGGAATCATATATATAATTTTATAAATAAAAAATATTTATTAGTAAAATTGAAAACTTTATATAAAGAGAAAAACTTGTCTATAGTTACATTCCTCTATAATTATACTTTTTTTATAATCATACTATTTTGCTTTTCTATTTATATATAAATATAATAAAAAATCTCTTTATAGTCATATTTTCTTTATATTTACCAAATTTTGCTTTCCTAAGAGTGATAATTATAGAGTAATTTGACTGTATAAAAGTTTTAATTTTTACTATGTTTTATTAATAAAATCACATATATAATTCCATAATTTTGAGAGTCACATATAATTTCATAATTTGTTTAATCATTATATTGATATTATTTGGATAAAAAACTTGATTTTAGTTTATAATAAATTGCAATTCCATGAGAAAATTTGTAATTAATTTAAAAGTTATCATTAATTTAAAATAAAAATATTAATTTCATAAAATTTCTAAATAACTTGAAATTTTATTGATTTAATATAATTCTTATATATAAATTAATTTTAAATATCAATTGGCAAAAAAACCATTACAATTTTTTAGTAAAATTATAAGCTAGAAAACTCAAAATTTATACTTTAAACTGGTGTCATAAAACATTATATTAAGGCTATCAAAATTGTTCTATAAAGAACATCCCGATGAATCGTGTGTAATATCACGTGATATTCACTAATTTGGGAGTCAAATCAGTACCGAATGTTCACATTTGTCTTTTGAAAAATGTAAAAGAAACCATTATCACGAAGTTTATAATAGAATTCAATATAACAATACTTCTATCTGTTACCAATAAGAGCTCTGGTTGTAGAGTGGTACATTAACCGTTTGTTCAGGCTCTGTTGACTAAGTTATCAATAAAATTAATATTTTAAGCTTGTGTAAAATTATGTGTTAATTCAACCGAAATATCAACTTATTCAATTATGAACTCAAAAAAAACAACTCACCCTGCAACCGAAATATCAATCCATTTAAATCATGATGTTTAATTATAGCGATAGTGTTGATAATGCTTGTCTCACACTTCTCATTGAATAAATCACATTTAATACCGATACTTTTCTTTACATAACGATAATCACAGATCATAAATTAGGTTACAATTACTGCGTCAGATTCCGGAAAAATTTTACAATAGCATAAATAAATGCTTTGATAAATTGAATTGAGTTAAAAATTTACATCTAATTCTCTTGAATAAACGATAAAAAATTAATGTCGGTTATCTTCAAATTTTTCTAACAATTCAATAATTGTATCTGACAGAATGATTTGTTGATTAATGCTTACATATATACATGCGTATTATCCTACTATCTTGATACAGACACGATCATATAAATTCCATCAGCCAATCATTCCGATCATTAATTAATTCATCATACAAAAATCAATCATCGACTCTTAAAAATGATTATTAATACCTTCGCGTAACGACGGCAGTGTAGACGGATTCGCAAACGAGAAGTTATGCGCATGCTCAAGATGATACTTTAGACCGTTTGGATTCTTATATCGCTTGTCACAGCCCTCGATCTTACAGAAATACGGTTTCGGGGCTGAGCGTGTACCGTCATCGTCAGGACCCGAGGGACGATGTCCGTGGATATTATGATACTTTAGTCCATTTGAGTTTTTGTATGTTTTTTCGCAGCCAAGTACTGAGCATCTGTAAGGTTTTATAATTACGTCGTTGTTTGCTTCTTCACGTGCCATTTTTGTCATTTTTGGTATTTTTACTTTTAGGCTGTTGTTGTTTTGTAGTTCATGATTACTAAGATTATAATTGTTATTGTTGAGAATGCTGCTATTCATATTGGTGTTGTGATTATTAACGTTGACATTAATATTTATATTATTATTGTTATTGTTAATAATATTGTTAGAAGTATAATTATTAGTGAGATGCGGAATTTGAAGAGAATGGGACGATGTCGTCGACGTCGTTATTGATGCTGATGAAGGTTGTTGTTCTTGCATTGAAGAGACCGTCACGTTTGATGTTGAAGCAGCGCGTGAAGCAGCCGCGGCGGCAGCAGCAGCTAAATGTTTTTGAGTATGTTGAGCTTGTATACGAAGCAGTTCTGAACCAACATGATCACTTCGTGGTGAAAGAGAAGGAAGCGAGTAATTCTGCGGCGAAGAATTGTAATATGTCAGTTTATGATTTGGCGTTTGATAATCATAAGTTTTGGCGTCGTTTCCATTATCACTGTTGTTGTTGTTGTTGTCTATATCTTGATGATGGTGATTATTGGTGGTAGTGTGATTTTTGTATTGGTGATGATGAGGTGAAGACGAGGGCGAATTGTGATTGTTATGAGTATTAATAGTATTATGGTGATGATGCTGATTATGTGATTGATGGTGATAACTCTTCAATAGACTCGTGTGTGTATTATGTGTAAAAGTGACTTTATCAATGGCCATTGGTGATGAACGATAATTATTATTATGAAATGGCGACGGCGATAAATTTGACAGTGATGATGAAGAATTGTTATTAGTATGATGACAATTATTATCGTGATGATGATTATGATTCGGAATGTTATGAAGATTTGGACTGGAAAACCGAGAACCGCACAATGGAACTAGCGAGGTTTGATCGTAAATTTTTTGATTTAATTCCATCGCCGGTGATGGGTGTTTATTTTGTTAATATTGATGATAAAAATATTGTCGTTGGAATATTTACAAACTCGAAAGAAAATTTTTTCTTCTCTCTTTAGCTTTAGTTCTTTTAAATAATTATAATACAAACAAGTGGAAGGGAAAGTAAAGCGATAAGTGCGAAGAAAGTAAAGCGATAAGTAAGAAAAGTAAAGAATAATAAAAAGAGTAATAAAAAGTAATAATAAAAGTAAATAGGAGCAGTAAGAAGGAAGAAAAAAATCAATCAGATAAATATACATATGACATCATGACAAAAAATTTTTTCAGATGTATGTACATGTTTTAGAAAGGCGGATAGATTTCCTCGTATAGTCAAGGCAAGAAATATTAGAAAGACAAAAATTTTCATTGGATGATTTTGTTACAAACGCCGATCAAAAGGCATGAATATAGTCGAAGAGTATTTGTATCAACAACCCCCGGAAAAATGTAGTAGTTTACATACATGCAGGAAAATTTTTTTGTGGCGGTTTTAAACGAGACAACGACCAAGATGTACAATCACAGCGTAATAATAATTCAAATTGTGGAGTCAATTTAACATACGTTTTGATCATAGCCGGGAATTGATTCGGATTACCGTTTTGGTCGGATATACGGAAAAATAGGTAGGTCAGAATTTATGCAATAAGGCGTACATAGACGCGCAATACACAGTTTATATTATAAAATATATTCTCCGTGGCAACCAACTTATTCACATGTGTGTAATTTGATTTTCTTGATGTTCCTATTTTTTACGCCATCTTGACTACTACTACAACCAATTCATTATACCTCTTTTTTTGTTTGTTTTTTTTTAATCACGGCAGAGTAATTTGTTAAGGATAACAATATTACGTACGAACTTTGTTAATATTACGTATGTACTTTGTTAATATTACGTACTACGTGCTTGATGGCGACGAGCATGACGAAGATCAAATATGTGGGTACTATTATGTATGGTGTTGTTGGTCAAAACGCGTAATGCACATTTATTTTCCCTGTTCATGAATTGCATTATTTTTTGGGATAACAAGTGTTTTTTTTTGCGCGAAAATTTTCAGGTTCTTTGTTGAGATTCAATCAAAATCACGCGTTTATTTTTTTAGCATGTTTTTTTCGCATGTTTTTTGTCGATTTTTTGTGTGTGTATTACAAGCGAACAGATATACAAGCAAAAAATAGAATAATCACAAAAGACCTCGTGAACAAACATATACAATAGTTATATAATGAACTAAAAGAAAATTTTTTCGTATGGCATACAACAATAAAATGTGTGTGTATGTGGAGTAAGTTGCGTATGTGTACAAAGTATTGTATGTATAAAAATTATACAGAGCAAGACGTGACATAGCATGACATAACATAATATGGTGCAGGTTTCAGTCAGTGCTACGGCATTTTTATGATTAAGAGGACAAGATAAACTCTAAAAGCTTTTTTGTTTGGATACTGTCTTTTGTTATATTTTTAGGGTTTTTGTTTGTGGTTGTACATTTGTTCGTTTTATATATCATTGATTTTTTGCTGCGAATGAAGTACAGAGTAAATAAATATTTCTGCTTGAATGCAAGAAAGAGCAGAATAAAAAATTTTAATTGAAGCTGTTGCTTTGGTTCGTTGATCTATGATCAATTATTTGGAATATGTGGGGGAGATACACAAAAAAAGCCGTAAAATTGTGTGCTGTGTTCGTTAGAGGGATAATCGAGAATAGATATCTAAGTTGTATAGAATTACGACTAGATTTATAATTTACTGGCTATATTTTATTTTTCTAACGTATCGGTATAGTTGTACATGATGTATTTGATATGTTCTAGAATTATCTATGTATAATATTTTTCGTATCGGTATATGATTTTCATTATATGATTATCGTTAATGTTTATATCGTATAGTTATCCGATTTGACTTTTCAAAAAGAGAGATTTGACTTATATTTATATTCTAAATTATTATTTACACTGTATTATATTATAATTTAGATATTCCACTATATATATGACTTATTTATATTACAATCAAATAATTATAACATAAAATCAATAGAAAACATATTGTAAACCTAACTATAATATAACTTAAAAAATTTTACTCTAGTCGCATCAAATTTGAGTTTTATTTTTAAATATTATATCATTCAATAAAAATTTATTTTAAAACTCATCATATGTTTACTTTATTTAAGTTTAATAAGTTTTAAAAAAAAAGATATCTTTTTTTGAATGTTATAATATTTAAAAATGAAATTTAAATTTTAAGAATCATATTAAAATCTTGTATATAAATTCGTTCAAGCTCAAATTATATTAAAATATTATTAATAGATCTAAATCAATGGAGTTGATAATTTAGTATCAGTTATAGTGAAGTTTTTGAAATTTAATAAATAATTAAATTTTAACAATTATATTAAATAATAATTTAATTTGAAATATAATTAATATTCATCCTTTTTAAATGTTTAATTAATTATTAATAATATAAATAAATATATTTATATTTTAAAATAGATTAACATGATATAGATACTCTTGAATTAACAATATGTTACATATTAAAAATTCTTTTAACTTTTTAACTAAAAAGTAAATCTAAAACTTAACTAATAATGTTATTAAGAAATTTCTTTTTATAAGATTATCGATTAAATTTTGAATTTACTTTTTAGTTAAAAAATTAAATATAAAATATATTATTAATTTAAAAGTTTTGTACTATTTTTTGTAATATTATAAATATGAAATAATATAAAAAATATTTTATAAAAAATTTACAGAAATTTTTAGAAATAATAATTTAAAAAATTAGAAAATTATTCAGATTTTTAAGAAAAAAAATTAAAAACTTGTTTTTAATAGTATCTAAAATAATTTTTTGCGTTTTTTTAAATATTATTTTAAATCATTATTTTTTATTAAATTCTGAAAATTTACTAATTAATTTGATTTGATTACAAAATTTTTGCTCTTTTTTGAAAGAATCTTGAATTTTCTATTAAATTTCAAATAATTTTTGGATTAATATTTTTATACTTCTAATTAATTTTTTAACTTTTTTATAAAAAATTAATCAAATAAAAGTTCTATTTTTTTAAGATTTAAAAAATATAAATTTAATTATAAAAAATAAAAAATATAATATTTTGTAATTCAAATTATTTAATTTTAACAAATTGAATTATAATATTTTAATTTAGATTAATTTGTAAGAATATATAAAATAACTTATTTTAAAGTTATTATATTAATTTTTAAATATTTTTGTTCAAATTAAAATAAATATATTTTTTTCAAATATATTATTAAATTTATTTAATTAATAAATTTAATACTAGTAATTTTTACAAAAATAATTTAATTCAAAATATAATGTTTTATAATTTACAAATTAAATTTTAATTAAATTATTTTTTTAGTAAAATTAAACAATTTTTTTATTTGCTAATAATAACTTAATTAGAAAAATCCAATAAAAATATATATTAAATTATAATTTACAATTTTTATTTTAATATAAAAATAAAAAATATTTATTAATAAAATTAAAAACTTTTATATAAAATAAAAATTTTAACTTTATTATATTTTATTAATAAAATTATACATATAATTCCTTAATTTTGTTAGTTATTATTCCTTAATTTTGTTAGTTATTATACACTTTATTTTTAATAATAAAATATTTTTTATTATTTACTGGTTAAATAATTTTTATAATTAAATATATAAAAATATATAAATTATAGTAATTTTTCTATAATTATTTTATTTTTCTTTTCTATTTACATATTATTATTATTTTTGTTAATTTATTAACTTTCAAGTATAGATCACATATTTTTCATGTGTTTTATTTAAGTAAGAGAGTTATTAAAGATTTTTATGTGTTTTAAAGTAATTAAGATTGGAAGAGACTAATTTAATAAAGATAGGTAATGATGTATTCATTTTGTTGAACTGCTAGAATGAGTTCAGAAATCTTCTTTTAATTCAAATAATTTAATTATTAAGTAATTTTCTTTTATTAATTAAATTTTATTAAAATTATCTTCTTCTTTTATTATAAATCTAAATAATATTAATCAACTTTACAGAGTAATGACGAGAAATTAATTATATTATTATAGATGACATTGCTTGTTACAGACAAGAGGTCTTTTAAATAATAAAGAATATAAATAAGAAATTAAAAGGGTAATTAATGCTTGACTGAAAATCTCTAACTCAAGACTTATAATACAACTCACTTTTAAGAAGATTTTGTCAAAGAAAATTAAAAGGTAAAAAATTCTAATCAAGATGATTATTATC